TCAGAAAAGCTGCAGTTACATCCCTATCCAGTTGGAAATCAAGGGCCAAATTCTCTGTTGAATTTCCCAGAATCCACCAGCTTTTTCAGCTTTTGGGTAGCCAACAAGTGACAGAAATGTAGGACTAAGGCCCACTTTGTTGGTACTACAGAGGGGAAGTAGGGAGGAGTGGAAATATCAAGATCTGTGGGTCACGGTTCTGTTAGTCCTGCAGTTCTTGCTTGTCCACAAGAACTGGCTGTCCTGCCTTCTGGCTAGTTGTTTTGCTGCTGGTCCCATCTCCAGCAACGTAATGATACAGTAAAGCTCAACAAAGGCCAAACAAGGTCTGATGTTTCTTTTCCACACTTGTGGATGGAAAGGGAGCCCTGTCTTTGGCACAACTAATTCAGGCAAATAGTTTTGAAGATGTAACCAGTTTTGGAGACTATGGCTCAGATTATTCTCCCATAAAAATATGCTCTCATTTTTGGCATCTGCACTAGCTACAGGTTCAAATCCTACCAATTACATCACTAAATTATTGATTTGCACCCACATTAGATTTGCACCCACATAGCTTTCTTAATCGTAGGATTTATGCCTGCGAAAAAAGAGAGGCTAGGCTGCCATTCTGGTCTTATAGGTGCACTGTGGATGTTGGCAGGCATTGGATAAACAATGGTGTGTACAGATCTGTAATTGCTAGCTAAACCTCTGTCTGGTACCGTACTGCTATGTTGCCATTAATCTGCATTGGCTTTCATTCTGGCTGGAGGTAGTTTACAGTGACATAGCACAGTTCTGGACATCAGGTGGAGAATTGTTTTTTAGTGATGGGCCCAACTCAAAGGGCTTAGTTTGGTTAAGTCCTTAGATGCTTTTGTGAACCTATCAATGCCTTCCCCTGCCTCCTTTTCCAGGCATCAGACCCTTCTTCTCTACTCCAAACTTTAAGATCTTTTCTCCTTCCACCCAGCTCCCTTCCTTTATCTCCAACTCCCTTCCCCTGAATGCTTAAAGCCTACCTTTATGATAATATTTTTATGGAGGTGAGGGAGGAGGTCTGGGGCTTGGCATTCCTCTGGGGGGCTTTGTTCGAATATTACACACACCTTCCCTGTGTCAGAGGTTTGTTCATATAAGTGATAAGTGATAAGTTCATATTGTCAATGGATTGTTCATACAAGTGATTCCCAGCGCAGCCACAGAATTCACCAGACTTGAGGACAAAAGTGATCCTAACTTTTACAGGAGTTCTGTATCTGCATATATGCAAATAGTTAATAGATAAGGTGCTACAAAATGGTGCTCAAGAATATGTAGCATAGTTCCTGTGTTTTGTAGGACCAATAACTGCAAATGGTTTCCTCTGGTAGCTCTTTTCATCAGCTGTTAACACCAAAAATATCGCCAGACCTGCTCCGAGCCTATGATGGATTTAATCAAAGACAGGTGGCCAGTTGGGGTAATGGAGAGAGAAGGGGACAGCACTTACATGAACTTCCTCAAATCTCAGCTAAGTTCAGGTTATGGTGCTGGAGGTTTTGAAAAAAAGTTTGGGTTGGTTCTAGGGACGGGGGAAAGAAGAACACTGCAATGGGACCCTATACGTTGTGGAGGATGAAGCAAAGCCTGCTTTGCCTGTCAAGACACACATAGTCAGGTCTTTGTTTTCCTAGGTATACTAGAAAAGATCTCCTCCTCCTCACCTGCCCACCAACAACTCTGTTAAACAGCAAATAGTCACTAAATATTTTGCTGCTCTTCTGTTTTGCTGTCCTGGACAGCTGCCTTGTCTGCCCTGTATTGTAAAGCAATCCTTGCTCATAAGAATGAATTAATGAAGATCTTGTTTCATGCAAGCTGTATACACCCATGCTTTTGCTCAGAGTCACTGGTTGTAGGGCAACTAACTTCTTTGCATCAGAGACACTCTTCTGTCTTCTCTCTTTCCCGTTTAATGCAATCAGGCTCTGTGAGTTGCAGCTTGATTCTTTAGCTCTCCATATTTTGTTCATTTTAATAGAATCTGGCTCATGCAGCAGCTGCGCTGCATCAGTCAGCTGGTGTTAAGCAGCTCTATAGCCAGTGGATCCAGCCAGTTGAGAATTCCTCCAACATGGAAGAATCCTTTGGTGGCAAAGTACCATGGCATTTTCTATGTCACAACCCTACCCAGTCCCCAGTGCAGGGGGCTGTGGCCAGAAAATGGCTGCATCTGACTGATTCCCAGCACCTATTGACTCTGGGGCAACTGGGCATAACTTAAAGCAGCCATTAGGCTTAAGGCCACCTTTGATTCCTTCCTTTCTCCAGTCCTGTGATGAGCATAGTTTGGTTGGACCAGATGATCTGGCAGAGAATGACTAAGCATTTGACAATTTAGGATGGATTTTCCAAAGTGCTCGGTATTGGCCTAACTCAGCTCCCAGTAAAGGCACTGGTGAAATGCCATTGGTTTTAGTGGGAGCAAAATTAGGCCAATGCTGAAAATCCCAACCTTAAACTATATAGACTGCAGGGAACGAAACAATGCTAAAAGAGACCAAACTCCCCACATTCTTTACAAAAAAACAAACAACCTCACCTACAAAAAACAACCCTTCTGCAGCCCATCAAGTGAAAATAATAATAATAATAATAATTAATAATATCTCATATATTGCTTTTCATTCAGAGATCTCCAAGTGCTTTTCAGAGCTGCACACATATCACCGTTAGTTTTAAAAATGATAAATACAAGTCTTGTGCTTGCTAAAGTGGTCTCCTGCTGTGTATGTACATTCTCTCTTGCTTTCTGTATTTTTTTCCTTGTGGGTGCTTTAGAGATAATAGCATATGTCTTCCCAGGTGTAATCTAACTGAATTATAGGATAGTGTGTCCTATTCTGTACTGTTGCTCTGCATCAGGAAAGTGATAAAATTGTGTGACTAAGAAACAAACAAAAAGAATAAATGCCTGAGATTGGGCGAAACCACTTCGGCAGGTGAGGCATCAAGATAAAACAGCTGAGAATTCTGGTGAAGGTCCTATCTGTAAATATTTGCTTGGTTATATCTTTCTAAAGAGAGAGCGGAATTGCACCTCTTGGTATCTGCCATCCTACATCACTTAGCCTTTTATGTTTGCAGAATTTTATACCTTACTGGGGACATGTGGGAAGAAGGGAATACACTGTGAAAGGGACAATTACTGCTTAATGCTGTGGGGCAGTTAAAATGTTTAATATTTTGGATGCTATCCTCTGGGTTACGTACAATCTTGCCATGTTGCATGGAAATTATTGGAATGGCAGGATATACCAGCCTGCTTGGCTGAAGAGGACATGGCTAGGATGTTTCAGCAGCAGTCAGAGTGTTTAACAGTAGCAGCAGGTTGATTAATTCTGATCTATACAGATACACTGGATATTGGCATGGTCATAATCTTCATTAGGCAATCTGTTTTTTTCCTTTATTTTCTCTAATTGAGTGTAACTCTTTCCTCTCTTTCCCTGCAAAGCTCTTCTTTTTAAAAAGTAAAAAACAAACTTCATTAGGGAAGTTTCCTTCTTTCCTCTCCATCTTTCATGTTTGCACCTACATATATGCCTATCTGATTCTGATTCGGATGCCCTATAGTTATGGAAGGAGATCGTGACTCCTCCCTCAATTTCTTTATTCCTCTGAATTCAAAGCTTGTACCCTTCTATCCCCACTTGTTACTCTCACACACATACTCTTTTTGCTCCTGGTATGTTTTCTGTCCCCCCACCCCCTCCCATGAGATGCTTTTTTGACTCCAGCTTTGATCACTTTGCTTGCAATGCTGACATTTGTTTAATCTTGCTAATCTGTCATGTTTGTGCATCAATGTAAAATTAAACTATGCCAGAAAGAAAACAGAAGCCTTACCATGCTAGCAGCTAGCTCTTGTGTTATCTTGGCAGCAAGAATGTGCATTTACTTTAAAGTCATCTTGTAGGAATGGCTCAGGTGATGGCCTGACCCACCATACGCTGCCAAACTGAGTTTAAATAGCCAAAGCACATCCAAAATTTTTTGCACTTGGCTAACCCCAGCCCTGCTGCCCCGTGCTAATATGTTGGGAGAAAAATGAAGTACAGTACTTTGCATTAATTTATGTGTGCTATTTTTTATTTTTGATCACAGGTGATGGAGGGTAAGATCTTCAGCTGGTGTACAATGGGATAGTTCTGCTAATGTAAGGCAAGCTATCCTAATGTACATCAGCTGAGGACCTGACTAGCTGACCACACTTCATACCTCGTCACTCTTGGAATGTTTTCAAACCTTTCAGTCAGTGGTTGTATATCCCCTCAATCCCCAGAACCCTGCCATTGAGTTGTATTATACGGTAGTTAAATGTATCCAAAGTTTCAGCAGATATATTTCAAGGGCTCTTTATTATCTAAACTTTTATACATTGCTCCTGTTAAAATGCTCCCATCTTCTGTGACTTACTGCTAGTGCTTTTACACTATTCCCTGCTAGGAGAATCTGGGACTGTACATTCTGTGAGTTCTTCTGCAGCCATTCCTCTTCCATTCCCTCTAGCAACCCGACTTGGGCAGCTCTCCAAACAGCCAGCACTCCTTCACAATTCCCTGCAGTGACACCTGGTGCGATTGAGAAACTGCTTCCTCACTATGACCATTATTCCTCAGATATTTCCAACCCTGACACCTGCTTAGAGGTCCCGAGACTTCCCCCATAGTTAGACCCTACAGAAACTCTTGCTAAGGGCTGAAGTAACTATGAGCTGCCTCACAACCAGCCCAGAACTGTGGTAATATTCCATAAGACTGTTCTGGCTGGGAGGCCTTGCTCCTGAAATAGCTTTGAGTGCTCCCTTCTTGTCACCCCTCTTACAGACATTCTTACTGAGAGAAGCTGGGATTGGAATATCTCAGCTCCCTCATATCCAGCACGCCTGCACCATTTTCTAGGGTGACACTGAACCCTGTCTGCAGCCTTTTCATCATACAAAAGATTGACTGATCTTTGTTTTCTTCCAGGCCACCCGTCTCTTCAGAAGATCAAGGTAAGATCCTGTTTTATTTATATTGATGAAGGATTAAAAATGGAACAGAAGACCAGTTAGGAAGCTGTGTTTGTTAATCCCTGTGATGGAGAATAGCAACCTTGCAAAGATAACACTTTGATATTCATATTTAGTTCATCTGTGACTTCAAATTCATATCGGTTAAAGTTCAATGTAGTAAAAGCCAAGTCTGTGTTTAGGTTTTTACCCCAAATTCTGCAAAATGAATTTTGCTCAACTAAACTTGAGGCACTAAAAGCATTTGCAGTGTGATTCATGTACCTCATCACCACTGGGGCTCAGCCTAGGGGAAGAAATGTACACGTTCAAAAGAGTTTGCATGGGTTAGGTGATGCTAAACTATTATGACTGTTAGGGGAGAGGCAGCATACACTAGAAGGTGAAGAGAATGAGTACATTTGGTTTTTGCTTTCAAGCTAGTTTGGACTACCACTAAAACCAGTTTGGTGGTCTTGTATGTTTGTTCTGTCAGAACACCTATGGGTTTTAGCACAATTGATGGTTCCCACATGTAAGAATCCAAGGTTAGTTGCAGGTGAAGATACATTCATTAATAGAGTTGCATGGGAACCCAGGACTGGAATAAGGGGATGTTGCAGGTCAGAAATGAAGTGCATTGGCAGAGCTGCATGGGAGATCAGGAATGGAACAGAAAGAAGTGTTACAGGCTAGGAATAAGTTCATTGGTAACTTGTGGGGTTACAGGAATAATGTCAGTTAGCACCAACTACTGGATTCTAGCCAGTGCTGCCTGAAAAAGAACTGTATTGTTTATTAGTTAAATTAATTGATTGAAGACTGATTCTCAGATACATAAGGGCTTCTTTACACAGTTCTGACAGTGTAAAGGGCCCTTGAAGTGGGAGTAAATTACCAGTGCCAGATTCATGAAAAGGGGCCTTAATCTAAATAAGAATCAGGCTGTCTGTGTGTTTGTAGTTCTATTTTAAGCCAGTACTAAACAATATGGAGATGGAACTTCTGTATCCCTATTTAGAAAGTGTAAAAGAGCCACTGAATGTCAGTCTTTCTCCATATTTTTGACATTCTAACAGAGTTGGTTTATTGTGTCACATTGCATTACATTATGATTTCATATGCAAAATCATGCATGCTACTGCACCCACAAAACCACTATGTAATTCCATGCATTTAGTGTCATGCTCAAACAGAACTTAATCTCTCTTGTTCTATCCTGAAAATATTTGGCAAATAAAGTAGTTACCGGGGTGACATCATTTGCTGAATTACCTCGGGAGATTTGTACACAGTCTTGGGGCACAAATGAAGTGAGTTTGGTAGTTTTCTCTGCCTGCCAGTGCATATACTTCATAAGATAACCACGCCATTTCCCACAGTGCAGGACAAGTGTTAGTCACTGCTCAACAAAGGCCCAGGACTGGAATAGTAAGGAGTGTTGCAGGTCAAGGCTGAGTGCATTGAGAGAGTTGTGGGAAGGTTAGATTTGAGAGGCATTGACTCAGTGTTGTGAGGGCCCACAACTGTAATTAACAAGGGATTTTGCAGGGCACCATTGAAATGCATTGGCAAAACAGTATGAGGAAACCTTGTATAGCACCAAGCTGCACTGTACTTGGTTCTAGGCAGAACTCTTAAATCCAGCAAATGCCAATAAATTGACACACGGCCACAAATAAGTATTAAAAATCTCCTTCATATTCTTGAAATGACATCCCAATAAAGAAAGTGCCCCCTCTTCCCTTCCCCACCACTCAAGCTGGGAGTATTGGAGCCTTGCAAAATTTGAACACCATCCCCCTACTCCCCAGTGCTCAGGAGAAACATTACATTTTAATATGGTGTTCTGGGATCTGGTCTTGAACTACTTGTCAGTGGATAAGCTCATCAATGATTAATTTCACTTGCTTATAGGTTTTCCTTGCATTTACTCTATTAATGGAGCAACAGACATTGTATGGTCTGTTTCTTTATGATCTTCTAAACTTTAATCTCTAATAGTTCCCCCTTTCCTAACTCATTCCTTTCTCCTTTCACTGTTTTTATTGTTTCCTTCTTCCCTACAAATACCTCTCACCTGTGCCTATGTGATCAGGGTACAAGTCTTCATTTTGATCAGTATCCTTAAACAACTCCAAAAATTTAAAAAGCCTGCTTTGAAATGGAGCATTAAAGCCCCCCACACGCTTAACTAGTTAGCCTCTGCCTATCATACCATGGTCTTTACAAGGTTCTGTGTGGTGGAAGTGGAATATCTATTTTAATTTGTCAACACGAAGCAATGGAGTAAGTTTAGCTTATCTGCATCTTGCTTGAAGCACAACAGAATTTTTATGCTCTGTTGCCGCTTTGGAGGAGAGGCTGGATGCCCTGGACACATTCTTAACTCACTGTACAGTCCTAAATGTATCAAATATTGGAAGGCTCCCAAGTGGAATAACAGATGATGTAACTTCATAAAAGCCATAAATTCAGAGCCAAGGTTGCCATTCAAAACCCATTGTGGCTAAGTATTGCAGCACCATAGTAGGTAAGATTACTCACTACTCTGAGAACCCTTTTCTAAATAGTGACTGTGGGAGGGTCAAGGACAGAGTTTAATCCCTTCACTCTGTATTCTCTGGCCTTTATGATTTTATTTCAGACATTGAGAGGTATATTTTCACTAAAGTGGGATTCCAGGATTTAGCTGTGTGACTCTCTTTCTTAATAGTCAGCACTCAGCTATATGCCCATTCATCATGTTGAAAATATACCTCTCAACAGTGCTTTAATGCTGTTTCTTTTAATAACCCGATAATGTTTTGAGTTGCACAGTGGGGCTTGATCAGTTTCAGAAATGTGTTAACGGGAATGGTAACATAAAGTATGGGCCCAATTTTAAAAGTAGGGGGCAATACTTAAATTTCTCCCCTTTGCATAATCCTGCATCTCCCTAGCACCTTGGTCACTTTCTAGTAGTACCTCAGAACTGGCTTTCTGATGGCATTGCATCTTGGCTGTTACTGAGATGAGGTGCTGTCTTTGGTGTGATCCATCTCCTGTTTTTACTTCACATTTTGCCTCTGATCTCTTCTTTCCCTCTTTAATTTCCATTCTTATTTTCTTTCCCACTATTGTCCTTGGTACCTCATGTCTTTGCCATCCTTCCACCTCCTCACTGCCATTTCTGTCCTTTACTTGTCCTTTCCCTTGGTGATCTATGCCATTCTAGTCTGTATAGATTCTTGTGCCATCCTCCTCACTTTGGCATTTGTCCTCCTCCTCCATCCCCACATTAAATGATTCTAGCATGAGTTTCAAGCAGAAGTTCTAGTGTCTGTACTATTACAGAAGTGCTACCAGTATCTAGTTCTGAATGCAAGTAGCACTTCTATTAATCCCTACTAGGACAATGCATCATGCTGTCTTCAAAGGGAGTGGGGATAAAGCACCATCAGTCTGGAACTGTGCATCCAATGAATACACAATGCTCCTTGTTGTGGACGCATGTTAAAGGCACCTTTATCAGCTACAACATAGGACCATTTAGTTCTTGCCCCAGAAAGGGAAACAGTGGCTTGCAATAAAAGTGCCTCCTTAAGATCTTGCAAGGGACTGCACAACCGCTGTAGGAATCTGACACGCATATTTGAACCATACACTTTGTTTTCCTATTTTAAAAAAAAGCCAGGTGACTGTTCTTACTCCCAGGCTATAGAGTCATTCTCATGTTTGTGCTCTCTCTTTGTCCCAGATGACTGTGAGAGAGAGACTGACTCACTCTATAGTCTGGTGGTCACAGCACTCACCTGGGAGGTGGGAGACCCAGGATCCATTCCCCCTGCTGTGGGGACTCTATCCAGAGTGCAATAGCTTGAACAGGAGAGACTGAGGGAGCCCCAATCAGAATATCCCATAGCTCAGTGATTAGAGCATGCAGCTGACCAATCCCTCTTCAAATCCCTTCTCCCTCTTAGGTGGATGGGAGACTTACCAGGTGAGTGCTCTAGCCACTGGGCTAAAAGTTATGAGGGAGGTCCTGTTGCTGCTGCTGCTTTGTGTGAACTCACCTGAGGGGCCCAATCTGGTAGGCAGCCTCTGAGCACGTTTATTGTATTGGGCCCATCCCACAATGTAGGTGTCTGAACACCTGTTTTCCCCTGGTTTGTGAATCGCTCTGGGGCTTAGGTGGGAGATAAGTGTCTGAGTGCCTAGACTGAGGTGCTGTGCGCATGCCCAGAGCCAGAAACATAGGCACCTAGGGAACTTTTACTGCAAAAATGTAGGCACCGAGTGAGTTTAGGTGCCTACAGAGTTCTGCGGGAGTTTTGCATATCACAGTAGTTCCAAAACTGGGACTTAGGCACCTATCTCCTTTGGTGCACGCAGGCCCAACGCTGTTTAGTCACTATCCACCTGAGTCAAATTTTGACATGGAGATGACAAGTTTTGTATCCCAGTAATTGTCCCTTCATTTAGTTACCCCTAGTGTTGCTCAATCCTTGAAAATTGTGCTTCGCCTTTTTTTCTTTTAGTAGGCATGACAACACATTCTTTGCTGCACCAGCAGCATTTCCAGTGAGCTATTATTTTGAAGTTCACCTCTTTTCTTGGGAGTAGGTTCTGCGTCCACAAGGGAATAGGACATAAATGGGAAATTAATTAAGATGAGAACAATAGATTGAAAAGAGTTTGGAGCCAGTTTTCTTAATGCACTCTAATAATTATTTGTGAAGGGAGAAGATAGAGGATGATTTTCTGTTTGGAAAGGCGTATGGAGACACTAAAAAAAAAAAAACTTTAATACCCTGGCAGGAGTTCGTTTTTAGTATCTCCCGATCTGGACTTGCTCTCCGCAGTG